TATACCTAATGTACCCCAGAGAGAAGATCCAGAACCATATTATACCTAATGTACACAATAGAGAGGATCCAGAACCACATTATACCTAATGTACCCCAGAGAAAGGTTCCAGATCTATACTATACCTAGCAGAGAATATCCAGAACCATATTATACCTAATGTACCCCAGAGAGAATATCCAGAACCATATTATACCTAATGTACCCCAGAGAGAATATCCAGCACCATATTATACCTAATGTACCCCAGAGAGAATATCCAGAACCATATTATACCTAATGTACCCCAGAGAGAATATCCAGAACCATATTATACCTAATGTACCCCAGAGAGAATATCCAGAACCATATTATACCTAATGTACCCCAGAGAGAATATCCAGAACCATATTATACCTAATGTACCCCAGAGAGAGGATCCAGCACCATATTATACCTAACGTACCCCAGAGAGAGGATCCAAAACCACATTATACCTAACGTACCCCAGAGAGAGGATCCAGCACCATATTATACCTAATGTACCCCAGAGAGAGGATCCAGCACCATATTATACCTAACGTACCCCAGAGAGAGGATCCAGCACCATATTATACCTAACGTACCCCAGAGAGAGGATCCAGCACCATATTATACCTAACGTACCCCAGAAAGAGGATCCAGAACCATACTATACCTAATGTACCCCAGAGAGAGGATCCAAAACCACATTATACCTAATGTACCCCAGAAAGAGGATCCAGAACCACATTATACCTAATGTACCCCAGAAAGAGGATCCAGAACCACATTATACCTAATGTACCCCAGAGAAAGGATACAGAACTATACTATACCTAATGTGCACCAGAGAGAGGATCCAGAACCATATTATACCTAATGTTCCCCAGAGAGAGGATCCAGAACCATATTATACCTAATGAACCCCAGAGAGAGAATCCAGAACCATATTACATATAATGTACTCCAGAAAGAGGATCCAAAACCATATAATAGCCAATGTACCCCAGAAAGAGGATCCAGCACCATACTATACCTAATGTACCCCAGAAAGAGGATCCAGAACCACATTATACCTAATGTACCCCAGAAAGGGGATCCAGAACCACATTATACCTAATGTACCCCAGAAAGAGGATCCAGAACCACATTATACCTAATGTACCCCAGAGAGAGGATCCGGACCACATTATACCTACTGTACCCAGGAGAGAGGATCCAGAACCACATTATACCTAATGTACCCCAGAGAGAGGATCCGAACCACATTATACCTAATGTACCCCAGAGAGAGGATCCGGACCACATTATACCTACTGTACCCAGGAGAGAGGATCCAGAACCATATTATACCTAATGTACCCCAGAGAGAGGATCCGGACCACATTATACCTAATGTACCCCAGAAAGAGGATCCAGAACCATATTAGCATATTAACCTCCAGCACAGTCCTCGTGATTGATTTCATTCGTCACTATATGATTTTCGGCCTGCTTCTAATTTTATTTTACTGCAATGCTGCTTTACAAGGCAATCAGAAATACCTGAGCACAGCCTGGAGGTATGTATTCTACCAGCAGAAACCACACCTAGCGCTTTACCACACGTAAAATGAATCATATCCACACCAGCAAAAGCCGTGCTTGGGGTGGTGGCAAAAGCCTTCCCAGCAACAGCCTGTCACAATCAGCAAGGGCCACATAGACAACACCGTAAGGATACACTTATCCCAGCTGGCACGACACGCGCTCACACCAATCCCAGCTGGCACAGCATGCGCTCACACCAATCCCAGCTGGCACAGCATGCGCTCACACCAATCCCAGCTGGCACAGCATGCGCTCACACCAATCCCAGCTGGCACAGCATGCGCTCACACCAATCCCAGCTGGCACAGCATGCGCTCACACCAATCCCAGCTGGCACAGCATGCGCTCACACCAATCCCAGCTGGCACGACACGTGCTCACACCAATCCCAGCTGGCACGACACGCGCTCACACCAATCCCAGCTGGCACGACACGCGCTCACACCAATCCCAGCTGGCACAGCATGCGCTCACACCAATCCCAGCTGGCACAGCATGCGCTCACACCAATCCCAGCTGGCACAGCATGCGCTCACTCCAATCCCAGCTTGCACAGCATGCGCTCACACCAATCCCAGCTGGCACAGCATGCGCTCAAACCAATCCCAGCTGGCACAGCATGCGCTCACACCAATCCCAGCTGGCACAGCATGCACTCACACCAATCCCAGCTGGCACAGCATGCACTCACACCAATCCCAGCTGGTAAACTATATACTGTACTATGGTCATTGTTGCCGACCCAGGAGTAGTGGGAGTTTGGGCACAGGACTTGTTTTAGTATATTTGTATCACACAGCCATCTTACGGTGCTGCTGCCCATCCCATGTGTTCCCTATTAAGGTTTAATAAGTATGTAGGGGTTTCAAAATAAAATACCCTTCTCTGTCTCATTAGAGATTTATTTACCTGATGCTGAAGGAAGCACGGTGAATTGTTAATGTAGGACCCACCTAAGAGGTTTGTCTTAACGTAGCTAGTGGACTAACATCTAATGGCCATTGGAGTGAAACAAAAAAAAAAACTCCATTTATATAAATATGCACAGGGATTTGGAAAAGGGCGCAAGTAACTTTTCTTTCTTAGTTTTTTATTTTTTATTGTATTTATTGGGTTTGATGTGTACTATGGTCATTGCTGCCACCCAGGAGTAGTGGGAGTTTGTGCATTTGTATATATAACGCAAACTTATTGCACTGAAGAGGGTTTGTGATCCTCCAACCTAAATTAACAGGTATTGCAAGTTTTCAGGACATCCTCAAAGTATATAATTACTGCGTGGCCTGGGGTTCCAATTGTCCATCCTACATAAATGTATCAAATGGTATAAACACAACGGTTCTAAAGTCTGTACACAGTTATTGTATGGTCTTATAATCGCTTGTCTATTTACATAGCCTTTGTATGATCCGGACTCTGTTTTCTACAGTCTATACACCCTTTCTAATTATTTATGGTAAAACATACTGCTTGGACCTGAACTCCCACATCTCTCTGACAGCTGTTTGATCCAGGTACCACCCCATTCCAATTTAATCTGGGGACTCACCTCCCCCATTCTATATTCACAGTTATTGGTATCCCTTCTGATCTGTACTCGCATCTAAAAATGTTAAGTCTATAGTTATAAATATTACACAGTTTAAGTTTTTATTACTTTTACTCAAACTCAGCTATTTGTTATACATCACATACGGAAAGCCAATGACCGAACACTGTCCAGAAAAAGGTTAAAGAAGAAGAGGATGTTCTAGAAAGAATGAGATAACAGGAAGTGTTAGATACTGTGTATGTGCATGCTATGGAGATACGTGGGAAAAAAAGGGGAACAAGAATAAACATAAACAAGTCATACACCGGAGGGAACACCCAGATTATTTAATTCACAGGGTTAAGCATCCAAAAACATCTACATCAAGGAGAGGCAGACCCCCAAACATATGAATCTAGGACTGAAAGCTTTCTCAAGTATATATTCTGAGGCAGAAAGGCAGCCATGAAGGAAAGAAACCATGCCAATAAGCGAGGCGGAGAGGCAGCCTCCCCAAACCGCTTGGCCGAGGCGGAGAGGCAGCCTCCCCAAACCGCTTGGCCGAGGCGGAGAGGCAGCCTCCCCAAACCGCTTGGCCGAGGCGGAGAGGCAGCCTCCCCAAACCGCTTGGCCGAGGCGGAGAGGCAGCCTCCCCAAACCGCGAGGCCGAGGCGGAGAGGCAGCCTCCCCAAACCGCGAGGCCGAGGCGGAGAGGCAGCCTCCCCAAACCGCGAGGCCGAGGCGGAGAGGCAGCCTCCCCAAACCGCTTGGCCGAGGCGGAGAGGCAGCCTCCCCAAACATGCATATAAATTCCAAACATAGTAACAACTTACAATAAAGAATCAGTGAAGTGAAGTTAATACTCCAAATGGGAGGACATGAAAGAGAGAAAATATATATTATATATCTTTAGGCTACAACGCGTTTTATACAAAGCACCAATTTCGCCTCCTCTCTGTACGCTCTTAACTTTGCTGACTGCCAGGTGCAAAAGGCAAAGCTTATAACAGTAACTGACAGGGAGCTACGGTGAAAGCACCCAGTTACAGAATAATGAAGTTGACATGGAGAGGAAATCGAAGAAACAGACCTACTTGTCTAAAGCTCAAAATAATTTAAAATTAGAAAGTTTGGGGGCACTGCTTAGATCTGTACATCAAGAGATCTAAATCTGAATGGAAATTCTGAGGCAAAAATATCTGATCTGGAATCGGCATGTGTGGAGGCAAGGTGGGGTTTTACAGGGTTTAGAAGAAGGTTCCTGGATCCCTAGGGGCCTACTTTGGCTTTTTGAGATTAGCACCTGAGGCAGTGAATACAGAGGTGGGCACCTACCAGAGTTGCAGACCTCACACCTCCACAGTCAACCTACAGGGACCCTGCTAAACCCCATAAAGGGTTACATTATTCACTACATACAGACAGCAGCACACCGCTCATGGATGTCCTTGTTGGGTACTGCCCGGTAAGCTTCTGTCGCTCGGCCGGATAATTTGCTGCTCAGTATCGCAGCCCAACTTTCTTTATCAAGACTATCCAGAGCACATTGTCTTTTAAAGTCCTGTAAATATGTGGTGATCTCCATTTTTCCACCGGTAAAATGTTTAAACGCAACATAATTAATCTTTTTACGCTGCCCTCCATTTGTAG